ATGTCAACTCTGAATCACACTGTAAGAAATTACATCCTTAAAGCTATTGTTCATGGGACTTTTCATTTGATTTTGCAACTTGGTTCTATTGTGTCAATTTTGCTGAAGTGTCTCATGTATGCTTTCATCATACTGAAAAATTCCAAGTATGAACAAGAGTCTCTTTGCTGTAAAGTTCTTACAAGTAATTTGGTCCAAGTAAGAAGTTTGACAAATACCACCCTGAAGTACGGATATCATACAATACAGTCTTAGTGAGGATTCCTTGCCAGTACAGTGTCTCTGAGCAGTATAGATTTATATCTATAGGAATTCCTTATTATTCTCTTACCAGAATCAGAGTAAGAGTAGCATACCACTCGCAAATATAGCTGTTGTTCAGAATAATCTAACAGAATCAACTATCGTTGTTTATATTTAATTTCTTAATACAAGGAAGCAAATGATTTTGAAATTATTCTAGTGCTTCCAAGAAAGAGACCTGCAATATACTAAAATTCTTATCTTAAACAATCCTATTGACTTTCTTGGGAGATACATATTGGGTACAGTATATGATCTTTTTATATTAGATTTAAGATAAAAATATTTAACGTAAACTTGAGATAAATAAGACATTGATTATTTGAAAAGTATTCTAAGACAGTCTTCAAGAAGACATTATGCTTGTTACATGGAGACTCCTCCCTATGATTAGAAATTCAGTTTTCATTTTGATACATTAGTACTTCAATTGTCATATTCATTCTGGGAGATTCATTTTCTAAAATGACAATTCCAGCCAAGGTCATTACTTCAGTGTCAATAACTTTTAGGACAGTTACCCTCACTAAGTTTCACCCCTTTTTTATAAGGAAGTAAAGTAAGCATTATTGTACTGGGAGAAAGTATGGTAGTTTTTTTGAATGGCCAGAATCATTTAAATTTTAGTAGTAGTAGTAGTAGTAGTAGTAGTAGTAGTAGTAGTAGTAGTAATAGTTTTTCCCTCCTTTCCCCTCCTTCTTCCCCTCCTCCTCACATTTTCCCACAGGTGGAGGGTCTATTTTTCAGATCAACAAACACTGTTTCACACAATTGAAAGTAGCAACCAAGTCCTTCATGTCATGTGGGTGACATTCATGTCATGTCAATTGTGTCCTGTCACTTTTTGGTTTGATCTTCCATGTAGGCATTTACCATTGGTGTTAAAGTGTTAGGCAGTACAGGGCAAGGTAGAGGTGCTACTCATAGGATGTGTCTATACCACTGTAGGTGTTTTTTCCCATAATTTCTCTGCCATAACAGATATTCTTAAATATTGGTGCAATGTCCATCTGCTGCTGGACTGTATAATTGCTGATGTGGTCAAGAATGGAGAAGCCAATGAAGCAGATGCAACTTCATGGCATGTAGAGGATATTCAGCACTGTTGGTGATTGTCCAGCACTCACCATCACAGAGTGTTACAAGGCAAACCATCATTCTATACATTTTCAATTTAAAGAAAATTGACTTGTGTATATCACAGAGCACTTCAGTAATCTCCTTTCATCCCAGCCATGTTTCCCTTACTTTCCCATAAATTCCATCATCACTCTCACAGCAAGAGTTTGTTTTCACTATAGCTTTGCCACTGACCTAGACAGACAGTAAAGGCGCTCAGGCTGGTCTCTAGGCATTCAGTCTTCTTGATATTGAAGCACAAACTGAATTGGATAGTACAGTTGTTCTATACCTAGACACAGCACTGAATTCTTCCCTGGTAGTAGCTGTGAGCAGGACATTGTTGGCATAGAGCAGTGGTTCTCAACCTTTTTAATGCCGTGACCCCCAACCGGTCATAAGTCGAGGACTACTCAACCGGTCGTAAGTCGAGGACTACTCAACTGGGTGCAGCACCGTTTACAGATTGGGACTTTTGGCGGGCTCAGCAGGGCAGAGACAGCCTGGACAATTCCTATTGGCTTTTGAAAGCGAATAGAATTAGACTCTATTCAAGAGAGTCTATTCTATTGGCTTTCAAAAGCCAATAGAATAAAAGGGAGTAGCACAGCTAAGGAAAAGGGGGGGGGGGAAATGGCGGACTGCGTTGTTTGGCGACCCCTATGAAATGGTCGTTCGACCCCAAATGGGGTCCCAACCCACAGGTTGAGAACCACTGGCATAGAGCAAGACCAGGGGACATTGCAATACAGATTTGCATGACAGTATCCCATGCCGAGAATGAACAGCAAATGTAGTAGTAGTAATAGTCATTATTTATTCTTTGCTCAGAAAAGAGAAAAACAGCAGAAAGAGAACAGAATGAAAATTGTATTTCAGTATTGCAGTCAGAAGTGCTGAATGAAGCTTTAAGAAAGAAGCCCATGCATTAACTTAAGACCATTTCCTGAATTTCTTTCCAACACAACAAACTCTTGCCACATTCATGGCCACAAAGAAACACTGCTAGAATTACCCATTTGCACTTCCCAAACCAATTGATTTGCTTTAAACAAATGATTTTCCCTGCTTAGAACTTTTAAAAAACGTTCTGAAAATATTTTGGATCACTGGCTTCTGACAGAAAACAACGATACAAATTCACATAGGAGGTTGTCTTATAACAATTGAATTTATCTGACTCAGGTTGACCAGAAATCTTCTTCCACCTTATATAGAAATGCTGTATAAGTTACATTGGTAACTTCCAGAACGTAAGCACTGGGTTATAAATCTTTCACTCCAAGATAATATGTGTTTTTCACTACATACTCTCTGTATATCAAAGTGAAGAGGGGAACAAAACTACTCTACATAAACTTGAGGGAAGAAAAGGAAAGAGAAATAAGTCCTATACAGATGTTAAAAATGCTAATCTTCACCAGGGACAACTCTGTTTCAAGGGGATCTTTGCTTTCCAAGGACACTGTCTAATGATTTGCACATTCTGCCCATTTAAATATATTCCACTGTTCTTATCAGATGACCTTTCCTCCATCCATTGATAATTATTTAGGAGAAACCTCTTGCTTTCCTATCAGTAAGGGCTGCACTGTGGTTGGATGTTCAACTTAAAAGGTGAGGCCTCAACCTAAAGCATGGGTGTCAAACTTGATCATGTTATGTGACGTATCGTGATGTATCGTGAAATTTTTTGCCTTTGCGGAGCCAAGGTGGGCGGGGCCTACACATGACGCATCCAGCCCATGGGCCGCCATTTGACACCCCTGACCTAAAGCATTGCACAAATGCACTAAGAAAATATCAGCTTGCTCAACCTTGGGTTCTAGGTGATACTCCCTAAGATCATATAATCATGTTGCTTTTCTTCCCAGATAGCTGGTTCTGAAGGCATCTGGGAAGAAAGGAGGGGGATCTAAGTCACATAATAATAATAATAATAATAATAATAATAATAATAATAATAATAATAATAATAATAATAATAATAATAAAAAAGTTGGAAGGGACCTTGGAAGGGACCTTGGAGGTCTTCTAGTCCAACCACCTCCTCAGGCAGAAAACCCTATAACATTTCAGACAAATGGTTGTCCAGTCTCTTCTTAAAAATTTCCACTGTTGCAGTATTCACAACTTCTGGAGGCAGGTTGTTCCACTGATTAATTGTTCTAACTGTCAGGAAATTTCTCCTTAGTTCTAGGTTGCTTCTCTCCTTGATTTTCATACATTGCTTCTTATGCTGCCTTCAGGTGCTTTGGAGAATAGCTTGACTCCCTCTTCTTTGTGACAACCCCTGAGATATTGTAACAGTGCTATCGTGTTATCCCTAGTCCTTCTCTTCTTTAAACTAGACATACTCAATTCCAGCAACCGTTCCTTGTATGTTTTAGCCTCCAGTCCCCTAACCATCTTTGTTGCTCTTCTCTGTATTCTTTCTAGAGTCTCAACATCTTTTTTACATCGTGGTGACCAATATACCATGTTTCCTGAAGGAGCAGCTTCATTCTGCAGCTGCATTCCGGCCTGAATTTTGCAGTCAGGCCTTTCCGGAAGACCTATGCAGCCAAGTACCGACTATGGATTCAAGCTATAGATTGGTCCTTGGCTGCAGATATCTTCTGGAAAGGCCTGTGACTGAGAAATGCAAGCCTGGCTGCAGAGGACACCTCAGAATAAGTGAGCTGGTAAGGAAAGGCCTGGCTGTCAGGTAAGTGGGTGTAGGTTGCATGGGGCAGATCCACCCCCCCCCACCCCAGCTTGATTTTTAAATGTGCCTTGCCCTAAAACCAGGGCTTATTTTCGGGGTAGGACATATATTAGGCCCACCCCCAAAATCAAGCTAGGGCTTATTTTTGGGGTAGGCCTTACTTTTGGGAAAACACGGTATGGCAATATTATTTTTTCTCCTTTTATATTGACCCAAATGCATTCAAGATAGTTTTCATCATTATTGTGCTCTATTTCTGCAGAGGTGTAGTTATTTCTTATATAGACAGCAACTCTACCTCCTCTTTTATTTGGTCTGTTTCTTTTAAATAATTTAAAGCCCTCTAGCTGTATATTCCATTTGTGGGTTTCATCCCACCAAGTTTCTGTAATGACAATATCATATCCGTCCTCATTTACCTGAATTTCTAATTCACCCTGTTTATTGCTCATACTCTGTGCATTGGTGTATAAACATTTGAGTCCTTTACGACTGACCCTGTGTTTACTTTCTATATAATCTGTGTGGCAGCAGTGGTTAGAAATGGCAAAGATCACAATTAGTCTTGTCTCTCCAAAATCCAAGGTGGGCAATTGAAATGTTCTAAAAAAAATAGATAATACCAATTCTTATTCCTGATATGCATTTTCCCCTTTATTCATAAATAGGTCTGTACCTTTACTTGCAGCACTATCGCAGAATGAAGGGCAAAACAGCCATCACAGCCTCCCCTTCTCTATGTTTATGTGATACTGATATAGGTACAAGGGGATGGGATTTGGATATAGCTGAAATAATTCTAAATTATGTTTTTTTTTTCACCAACCATCTGCCACTCTGAATAAAATAAGACAATATTAACAACTAGCAGTTAAAGACAATCTTGTATTTATTGCACAAAGTTCCCCTAAAACTGGGAAATTATTATAATACAAGTGCACATCTTCAGATATGTATGTACATTTGTGTATGTATGTGTGTGTATACACACACACACACACACACACACATATGTATATATATATATATATATATATATATATTACAGAAAAACACAAAAGATAACAATTATGTACATTCATCCAGCATATAACACATACCACCATTTACATAATTTAGAGAAGACTGAAAACAAGACAATTAAAACCATTTTAAAAATATCTGTTTTAACTCAGATTTTAAAAGGCTACAATGAAAAATCATGTTTCAGATTCCCATTTCCCTTTGTTTTTTTTAACAATCTTGCATTTCCAAGTTATCAGTGGAAATAAATTTGTTAGCATTTATGTGCAATATACTTAAATATTTTCAGCCTTAAAATTAAGACATATTAATGGGCATTAGAAATATTGCAAAAATCAAGATTAGTCTTGTATGTACATTGTTCTGAACAGCATATGAGGTCAATGCTACATCGCTGTTTTACTTCCCTTAGAAAAAGAATTAAAATCCAGACAGATCTATGCAGTACCTTGATATTTCATGTACCATATACAAGTTATCAGGCACAAGAAAGCATGCTCTCATGCCATACTTTTTGCACAGTAACTATTCCCGTTATATAATTCGAATAAGTAACAAAATCATAAAAATAAACCAATTCAACCAAATGCTTGAAATTGAAGGATAATGTCTAATTATCTAAAGATTTTGGAGAAATTCACCAATGGTAACACTTACTACTTGAAGAAATTACCAAGTTTCTTGTTAATCTAGTGTTTCTCAACCACGGCAGTTTGAAAAAATATAGACTTCAACTTCCAAAATGGCAGGTGAATTCTGGGAGTTAAAGTCCACATGTCTTCAAGCTGCCAAGGTTGAGAAACATTCTCATTACAAGCCTTTAAAATTGCCAGTGAACATATAGTTCACTACTGCAGTGGAAAAACTTCCCATTTAGAGGCCCTGCTTAGAGTTTACCCAGGAAGCAGCTTCAAAGGATGCCTCCAAATCACCAATAGCCAACATCAAGAAAGATAACACAATAACTACATACGCAGTTGTCATACAATGCAGAAACAGAGAGGGAACAAATAAGCAAATTCTTTGCTCCAAGAAGATTTCCTGCATTTCACAACATGAAAATATCATAGCAGGATATTTTAAATCCACATGTACTGTACAGAACGCCTCTGCAGCTAAGAACAGAAATCCTAAGAGGAACAGGAGAGTCGTAAGGCCAGGCAATAAAGCTGCAATCAACAGCTTAATTTCTTAATACCTCAGGAGGAAAACTAAGATGGAACATTGCTCTAGCTTTAATTTAGAAATTAGAAGACAAATTGTTAAAGGCCAATCTATATGTGGCAAGAGCAGACTATCCTAGCTTTACATGTGAATCTCACAGGACCACTTATATATATGCAAATGATTGCTTATCTTCTACCATTTTTGAGTATTTATGACCTTCACTTTGGAATAATGGAGAAAAGAAAATTGACTGGAGATAACAAAAGCTTACGGTATAAACTGTTCTATCCTTTTGCAAAAAATGTAGTCACGGAATCTGGCATGAACCTGCAGTGTGGAAACCCCTGTAGGACTTAACATTTGAGTTAGAATTATGGCTTTCAGTGGTGCAGACTTTTATTAGCACGCCCAACACATCCATCACTTTCTTCAATGTGGAAATCCTTGAGACCAGCAGTTTCTTTACTAAACATGTTCAAGGTGATTGTCTGCAAGATATATTGGAGGTGAGGGATAGGAGACAGATTTATGTTCAAACTGGAATGCAAATCATTTCTCAACTGGAGAAGAACCATAGAAAATATCAATCAGGTATCCTGGACTATTGGAAAGCCCTTTCCCCTTTCATAGTTGTAGCTTCTGTTTTTAGGCAGACTTTAGATCCCATTGTTAAAAAATTGAATTGTAGCAAAATTATAACATAAACTCTAGCCACCTGATGAGAATAACCTAAAAACCTAACCACACCTAACCAATTTCTTTTAAAATTCTTTTTAAAATATATGAGAAACAGTTGAGCCCATGTTTGCTGTTCACTGGGGCTACCTTAATGAGCAGTCCAAGCCTAATTAATTTTAACTACAATAGGCAAATCTATGTCCACTTAATTGCATTAGTGCAGCCATTTGTGAGTGACATCTGTATTAAAATCAACCTGAGCTCTCAGTGTTCATATTATGCTTACTGGAGAGACAGCCTGATTGGCAAAGCTTCTTATCTTTCAATTTGTTCTGAAGAAAAACAATGGCCCAATGTTTTAAATGCTAAACCCACCCATTTGCATCTGCCACTGCAAAGGCCCAGCAGACTGAATGTCAATTTATGATTACACTGTTAACTAGTGTGCAGGTGTAGGGATGAATTTTTATACTAAAAAAAACCTCTTGCTAGAATTTTTAAATCTTTGGAAAGCTTAGGGGATGTGTAAATGTAACAGGTTACTGAAAGGGAAGGCCACATTTATCTGTGTCCTCCTATGGGAAACTGAACATTGTTTTATATGGATTTCTGTTCACTTCTTCAGTATGCTACTAGAACCATTCCTTGACTGTCAAGCATTTGTAGCATAGCAGAATAGTCTGCACATATTATTGTGACTTGCTTTATAATAAACTCTATTAAAATAATAAAAACTAAATTGTTATTCATTTTAACAAAGAGTTGTTTCTGTAATATTAGCCCCAATCCTGTCTATTGTGGCAACCATTCAAATATAATGGAGTTAAAAAATAACTGAAAATGAAAGTAAAATGGAGAAGTCTTGCTGCTATATAAGGTAGTGATCTTGTCCAATTTAAAAACAACAACAAATGCTAGAGAGGTAATCAAGTAGTAAGAAGTGGGGAAGCAGGCATCCTTAAACAAGTGATAAAGTTTTACTACAGAAGTTAGTTGTAGGCTTTGTCCAATTATTTTTTAAAATTTTAATAGGCTGCACAGGCCACTGTGCAATAAAATACAGTAAATGATTATTCGTAAAGCTGCCCTATACCTTCTCCAGTTGAAACGGTTTTAAAGTTCTCAGATGAACCTAAAACGTAGGATGCGGTTTCCTCCTAATTATTATTGATGTCACAGACCTAATACAGTCATACTATATAGCAACAGTTTTATCAAAATAGGACCAGAAGAACTGTTTACTATGGACAAGGGCAATGTAGATATACTTTGTAGTATGCTTTCCAGCAAAGGCAAGGAGAAACGACTCTAGCAATCTTCAAAAAGAAAAAACTCAATAACTGAAAGACTTCATTTGTGTATGAATTAAGAAAAAATGTGGTTTTGGTTTCAACTGAATCAAAATATCACAGAATAAAGCAATTTGCTATGTTGTTGATGCTTGACTAGATACAGGGGAAAGTATTAAATGCTTTTAATGCCATTTCCCCTTATTTAACTTGAGGTAGTAAAAATGATTCAAAATAATATCATCATCCTCAAATTAAAAAGTACTACATCTTTTTGAACTACAACTCCCAAAAATCAAATGTTGGTTGAGAATTCTTAGAATTATAGCTGCAAGACATCCAAAGGGCTCTTCAGATTGATTTACAATATATATGTTTATAGCTTACAGGTCCCATACCAGAATTCTTTATTACTTAATCATGACAAAAATGATAGCATAGGATGAAAGGGGATGACACAATTGCCCTTTTCTTTTCCATAATTCCACTCCATATTTCCAGATCTCCCAAAGAGTGTAAGTGGGCACAGAATGGTTGCCAGAGGCCACAATTGGATAGAACTTGTAAATCCCATTAAACTCCCTGGGGTCTACTTCGAAGCAAACACGCATAGGATTAGATTATAAACCAGTTCTTAATAAACATGTTAGAAACGTGGTCTCATCAGAATAGCCTAATAATTAATACAATACAAACAAATTGAGTTTTAAAGCTTAAAATTTGTCTGGATAGTTAAAGAATTATTTTCCAGCATTTTAACTCTGTATTATAGAAATTATATAATTTCTAAGGTATAAATTCTCAGAAAAATACACTGAAATTAATGGAACACCAATATGTAATAAAGCTCTTACAACATCCTCTTTTTTTAAAATAAAATAGGTTTAACAGCAATTAGTTTTTCTTTACAGCATCCCAAATGAAACATGATCAAGGGGAAGAAATTCTTGTTAAAAAAACTAATAAAATATTATAGAACATTTGTTCAGGTTCTTTCTTTTTGATATAAAAAACAAGTATTTGTTTTCTGTAGTCTTTAAATAGTAGTATCAATATCAGAACATCAACAAAGATGTCAATTTCGCACGCAAAGATATATTCATGTATTCATATTCATTCATTCTCAATCAATATCAAGCATTCATACAAATATTACACCCAGGCCTTCTCCTATGGAAATTAATTGCACCCTACCTTCCCAACTCCTATCTGCCATTAACAAATTAATTTCTATATTTCTAACACAGTTGAATTGGTTACAATTCTACCTGCCTTTAACAAATAAACATTTTATTGTAGTTCTAATGAAGTTGAATTGGTTACAAAAAGAGCTTTACCATTATGCCTTGTAAATATACTATTAATTGGCTTCAAACATTAGCTGGTTCCAATCCCTTGTACAAGCATCAACAGCACTTTGCAGGCCACAAAGGAGTTCTTCATTCTAGTGATCCTGTAATTCAACAGTCTGCAGTTACATCATTTTGGCAATCCTTGTCCAAACCATGTTCAGTATTCCAAGATCTAGTGTCATCTTTAGTAACCTGAATCTCTGTTTTATTGGTTGGTTGGTTGGTTGATTTTTAAATGAATAGGCAAGGAAAGAAAGGGAACATGTTTGTACATTTATGTGTTTACTTGCAGAGGCACATTATCAAGCTGGCAGGTTGTTCAATTCACTTGCCTGCAAGCAAGAAGGAGTCTGGAAAATGGAAGTTCACGTCTGTTTCCTTGTCTTCCATTTTATAAAAATAAAATTATTGTCTTTGCCCTTTGGGGGTTTTAGAGAAGAATCTGGGCAACATATGGAGAGTGGGTGCTTGCTACAGCTGCCAATAAAGGGAGATCACTGGATTCAATCCTATAAAACAAAGAAATATCATCAACAACCACCGTGGCTTGAAAAGTTCTGAAGCTCATTATAATTTTCTCATGTAAAAGCACTTATAGTTAGCTTATTAAAACATAAGGCTTGTGTATATGAACTGTCAATGTACTTTAAATATATTACAGCAACCTCTGAATATTTCTGTAATTGAAGAATGCAAACACGTATTTCATAAATACATATGATGGGACTGATGGTCACAAGAAGCAATTCCCCCAGGATCAGTCTGAGAACAGATTTGCTTTGCTAAAGATTTAATTGTTTCAGCTCTCTTGGAAATCAAAAGTGGATGGATACAATTCAGAATATTCTCAAGCACACAATTTTTGATCACTGGGTTTAAATTTGGAGTGCTTTCTTAAAATTAGAGATGAATAAATAGGAAACAAAGAAAAGAAAATATGTCCTTTGTATTGGCCTGATTTTATATGCTGCCTACAAATATAGCTTTAAGGACTGGTCTTATAATACTACATAAGAACAACATATTGAGATATACCATACATACAAACTTTTGTCCTTCCAAAAATTACCCCTTAATTTACCAAGAGTCTATCCTCTTTAGATAGATCTTTTTTGTCTAAAGTTATCTTTGTTTCTCATAGGAGTTAATAGTCAAGCAGCTGATAATCCTGAAACCTATCTTTCCTTCTCCAGGTACGTTATAATTTAAACTCTGCAACTCAGTACAGATGCTTTCCTAGTAAAAAGTTCAGTGTGAAAGCAAATAAGATCCGAATTGCAGGTCAAGTCAGTAATGCTGTTCCTGACTATGAAAAATTTGTTGTACATAGCCCTAGAAGTTGTGTATTCAAAATAAACAAGTAAACAGGACCAAGAATTGGATAGAAAGCATACCCCAGTACTACTCCCAGCTCCTTCACATGAACCCGCATTTGGCCTTTGAGATATTCCGACAACATTTTGCTCTTAAAATACAGCTCCTGCAACCGATCTTCTAGGTGCATGATACACTAGGGACAAATGAAAAAAGAAACAATAATATCACAACATTGGCCGATAGTCTTTATTTTAGGCACATCCACATCTGAATCTGCTTACATGTTGTAGTCATATAATCAGTAAAGATATTAGACATTAATAGCATTAACTCTTGATAATTGTCTCTTGATAATTGTCTAAGTTTGATAGTTAATTTTTTTTTAAAAAAAATAAGTTTTATTGTTTTTTTCATTTTACAGACAAGTGCTTATAAAACAATGTGGTGGCAGGGCAATCAATTATCCACACAACAAAGACATACTCATAAAACTCAGATTAAATCATTTAAAAAAACCCCTCTCTTTTCCCTCTAATAACATATTATATTCAAATTGATATATTTTAATACAACTAGATCAATCCTATCAATCCTCAATAACTTTTCATCTAAACAGATCCACAAATCCAGATCCTGTATGAAGTTTACTTATTTCAATTACTATATTCCATATTTCTAATCTAAGTACATAGTTAACACTTCGGGAGTCTCCCCATTACCTTTTTCCTTAACATATTCAATAAACATTTATTAATATCATTTCTTATTTTTCCCTATTCTTCTTCCATTACAAAGTAACTATCAGTTCTAATGTATATATAAAAAAAGTATATTAGTTCATATCAGAAAAGAAAAAGAACAAAGAAAAAAACAAAGAACAGAAAAAAGTGAAAAAAATACCTTTCTATTATACTTTATAATCTAACAATCAATCCCTTAATATCAATATCACATTTCTTTAACCTCCTCAAAGTTACTATATCCAAAACATATTAATACGTAGACAAACATCTTATTATTAAGTTCAGACATTTAATTAATTTTTATTCAATCTTCTAACATCTTATTTAACTGTCATAAGCCATAAATCAATCCATATCTAATAAGCCTTTTAAAATCATTACATAAAACCTTCAATCACATTCTTAAATCTTATTCTAGCTTTCCTTTTATGTCAACAGGTTTCCATAACAACGCCACTATATCAATAAGCAAGTCATTTTTTATGTCTTGTAGTGTCCTTTGAATCAATAAGTTTGATAGTTAACTTAACCAAAGTTAAGTTTTCCAAACAAGATTCTTGTATAACTTTCATTAAGTAGACTTATTGAATAAGGAAGGACAGGGTACAGGAACTTCAGCAACTGAGTTCTTACTCATATAGAACTTGAATAATATCTTAGTGTGAAAGCTGATACTGTTTCCTCTTAACAAATGTCCTGTGAGGAGGCAGAAAACCATATCTTTCCAGGTCATGAGAAACCTGACAACTGCCTGTTTATCAAACCATCTCCTTAATCTTTTTCAACCTCTGAACTAATGCGTATAATAGGTTGCACTGCTGAATATATCCCCTCCTACTTGGTTTTTGTCAAATGAAAAAAATATATATAAAACTAGTGATAATCTCAAACTAGGAGGAAGATACTCAATGGAAAGCTTTCCAGCTGTAAAACTCATCCTGCTACCTATCCACAAGTATTTCTGAAATAAAGCAAAAAAAAAAAAAAGTGCAGAGTGGGGAATTATTCCCTCTGATTTAGTTTCATGAAGATAATTTTAACTGATAGTTGACATTATCAGTTTTCAAAATAGTCTCTGATTGGATGCATACCATACATACTCTTTAAACCTTCAAAATCAAGAACGTTGTAGGAAAGTGTATGTGAAAGGCAGAGGAAGAACTAATGGAAAAGAGGCAAGCAATGAATAAATATTGAATTGTTCTAAAGTGACTAGTTGTGTCCACTATGGTGGATTTTGTAACATGTTTTCAGTTATTGGGGTTATAAATTCAAATATGAAAGCTAAATATTCTGCAGTCTGCAATTTCCTGTTTATTCAACATAAGAAACAAAACCTGAAAGTGGGAGCTTTGGAAGTACTGGGAATCACATTTTTGGACTATAATCTCCATCCACTTCTGCTGTTCTGTTTGGAAACATCAGTCTTGGGAAACAAACAGAAATTGAAGAATTGCTAAGTTTGCTGGGAAGTTCCAAAGTTTGTATGAATAAGTAGAGTTCACATAAAAAATAAATTCAACTGAAGTCAAAGGAACTAAAGACATTTTGCTTTTTCCGGGAGAGGGCAAACACAGTAATGTAGCACAGTGACAGAAACTGCAGGATTCCATTCACAGTTCAACTGCCCAAGTACTTACGAAATTTGGAGATAAATTATGCTTATAAAGTTGAAGAGTGGAATGAAGCAGGTTGGAGACAAGGTTAGAGACTAGTACATCTTTCCCAAGTTTGTTGTCAATGATTCGTCTCTGGCTACTGGCCACTTGCACTGTCCATTTATCAGTATCTGCGATAATGCAGACAGCTTCTGCAATTGGTTCATCCAGAACAGGATGCTACAAGTCAAAGAGATACATGCCATTTAACAAATGTGACTTTGGTATTAAAGATATTATAGCCATCAACCAATGGTGTAGGAGAACTTTTTGTCAGTAAACTTGATTTGAGAATGAAAATCTCAAAATAATTTAGCATCAGAGGTCAAACAATGTATCAGCAACAATAGAGATGCAGTGTTTTGGGGAAAGCTGCAATTCTATGAAAGGAAATATATAATCTAATGAAACAAACAAACTCTTATGTATTCACTGTAGTCAAGACATAGGATATAACGTAACCAACTACAAAAATCAGTCCACACGCTTGAAGAACAGGTTGTGATATGGCAGAGGATCACATACAAACTCTGAAATTTATTTAAGTTTCTCTTTCTCTTCCTTTGTATTTTTGTGCAAGAGTGCTTCAGTTTACATCCACTAAATTGATGTAAATCAAAGCACCTTAAAATGGTTCTATCTTTTTTTAATTTTGCAAATGAAGTTGCCTAACGATCATCTTTCAATTCATATTGAAAAATTGTGAAGTTGTAGCCAAAAGCCTACCTTAGGCACAAACACCAGCAGAGGGAGCAAAAGAGAAGCCCTTGTAAAATAATGAGTTTGAAGTAGTTCTGAAGCAGATCAAATGTATCCAAGAAAAGCCTAAATGATTGAGGCCTTCAAATCACCAATATTATATGCGCTCTCTCTCACAGCCAGTGTTATGTATGGAAATATATGTCAATGTATATGGGGTCTATATACACTATATTGTCTCATCATCCTTAGTCGTTTTTGATGTTGGAAATTATAAAGGTAGTCCTCAACTTACAACAGTTCATTTAGTGACTGTTCAAAGTTGCAACGGCATTGAAAAAAGTGACTTGACTTGACTTTTCACACTTAACGACCACTGCAGCATCCCCATGGTCACATGATCAGAATTCAGACACATGTCAACTTACTCATATTTATGACAGCTGCAGAGACCTGGGGGGGAGGGTCATGTGATCCCCTTTTGTGACCTTCTGACAAGCAAAGTCAATGGGGAAGCCAGATTCACTTAACAACTGGTTCACTAACTTAACAACTGCAGTGATTCCCTTAACAACTGTGCAAGATAGGTTGTAAAATGGGGCAAAATTAACAAATGTCTCACTTAACATCAGAAATTCTGGGCTCAATTGTGGTCATAAGTCGAGGACTATCTGTAGTCTGAGAAAAAAAGTATTCCTTTTTTTTGTTTGAAAATAAATAGAAAACGTCCATTTCAAATCACAAGCCAGAGGAGAGAATGATGACTTATACTTCCTGAGTAATTTTAATCTTTAGGCCACTACTGCACAGGAAGTTGTTGGACAAAAATACAACCAGCTGCTAACCTTACAAAGCCATGGCACACGTAAAGTTAATTTTAAGGTCATATTTAATGTATATGTTCTTGTTCATAGTTCATTGCTACTTGTCTACATTAGTAACAGCAACACCCTATTACACTTTTTAGTGCCGATAAGAAGTGGAAAAACTTAAATAATAATTAAAAACATAAATGTTCCCTTTGTAGATCAGATTATGAATCCTATTCATGTAGAATTCAGTTTAAACAAGGGGCCAACCAGATGCCTCTAAACCTTCCAAGCAGGACATGAAGATGAGCTCTTTACTACTAATACCTATTACTCAAACATAAACATTTAATCAATGGTTACATAAATATTATCACTAAATAGTGAATGAAATAAGATGAGCCTTCAAATTTGAGAATTAAATGTGACCTCAAGCAAGAGAACATCCAAAGATTCTTAGCCAAAGCTTCTTAGCCGATACTGAACAGGTCTTTTATTTTTTTATGAAATGATAAGAATCTTTTCTGAATGAGATCATGAAAATTGAAGGAAAAAAAAAACTTCCATGCCTGCTCTAGCAAGCTTCAGAAATATTTCTTTTTTTTTTTTTTTTGCTATTGAGATATATTTCATCTGTTGAATATAGTTTAAATTACCTGCACAGCATGCGACAAATCTGACATCAAACAGTGTCTCAGTTTCTCATCATTTCCTAGTCCTTGCAAAACAAAGTCAGGTACGTAAGATGGACAGTAGCCACCTAGCAAGGACCTTCCAAAATTGGCAATACTGGGCTGGACAGAGTTCACTTCAATTAATTTTGACCTGAAAAAAAGGTATAACATGGGCATATATACTATAACTAACACTGATTTCTCTCTACTTCACCGAAACACTACAATGGGCAACTCTTGCATTTAATGCCACCAAAATTTCACTGATTTCAGTGGGACTTGCTTATATATAGGCTCCTATACAGCTCATGTCCTGTTATACTATACTCTCTCTAAGGTTCCTAGGACCCACCTTAAAACTCCTTACTTGTAAAAACACCTGGAAAATTCTGATCATTTTTTATGTAGTTAAGATTTTAACATTTTAATAATGACTGTGTTTCCTTGAACATAGCCAAATTTCATAGTACTGCCTGTAAAATTAGACATACTCCAACTGTCTACCAATGAATCCTCCACCATGTTACATTCTTATTCTGTTTTATATTTTAATCTTATTTTAACATCTTTGTTTTCAACTGTGGTCTGTGTCCATAATAAAATCTGTCTTATCATGTACAAGCATATGATGAATTTTAGTGCAAAATTCACTGTTGATCAAGGTTAGAATATAGAGTAAAGAAACTTCCAGTTGGATCATAGAATAGACATGAAGAAGCTATATAAACTAATGCTGGTTAATAATAGTCATACTATTTTTTAAACAACCATATTTCTTTAAATAACCTATCCTAAATTAGGGTTATACTATATACTACATATACTACACGAAGTAAGAAATGTAATTAGATACTCTTTCAAATTGCAGCCTCAGTGAAATAAATATTATTTGCATTACTGCATTTCTTAAAATAATATCAGGAAAGAAACCCAGTTAAAATAATTAAATACATAATAGTTTCTCCATAGAGTATGTATTTAACCATTACACACATACGCCTACAAGTCTGGCTACTATCTTCAAGATCACTATTTGGGAGGAATGTAGCAAATCAGTGTAGAGGGAAGAGGGAATGGCCTTGAGGAAAAGGAGGAAAAGTCATTACCATGATAATAGTCAGATAAAAGAGGGTCGAGTCCAAGACAGATAGTAACTTGAGGAGACATCTCAGACAAGACTCTCCCTAATTCTCACAAAGATAAAAGGAAGGGAGGGATGGGGCAGCACATTCAGATTTGCAATATTCTGTTATTATTATCTATACAATAAAAATATTGGCCTACAAGACTTTGGTTTCCTCGTTTGGTCTACTTTGAAGGGCTGACAATCATTCAGATTTAAGAAAATGTAAGTTGCTACAAGAAACACATACCCAGGAAATGGTATATCCTCTTCTTCTGCCCATTCTTCTTGCTCTGCCCCATAATAATTGCTGCTTGTCCTTGCAGCATCATGAGCTGCATCTTCACTTTCACTGTCACCGAGAGCACTATCAGAACTCTCATTTCTTGGAATGTCCCAATCCACACCTGGATCAGATTTTTTTTCTAAGTTCTCTCTTTCCCCATGGGGGATAAACATGGAGAGTTTTTCTCTTTGGTCCTGTTCTGCAAAACAGTTTTTACAAGTCTCTTGACGAACAGATTCCATAAACTTACAAAATTCACTAGGGGATTTGTTATTCTTTGTACTCAAAGTTTTGGGTGGAAATTCTAAGCTACTATTAGAGTCTAGAATGTCTCTTGCTGTTTTCACTGGAATATCATCTATAGTCCTAGTTACAACAGAACCTTCTTCACTAAAATATTCGGTAAGCAAATTTGCACTTTCCGCTCTGTAAGAATTCCAATTCTGGACCTCAATGGTAACCTGAGGGAACTTTTCGGGCGTATTCTGATCTCTTTTTTGGTCCTCAAGGGTTTGTTTTTCACAGTTCTGCTCAGCAGTTGTTCCTTCTTTGATCACCCTATGGCTGCTGTGTCTGGTCATTTGTTCTTCAGCCACTTGACTTCGCACTTCAATATCTGAATCAGGGGACATAGAATCTCCAATGAGGAAAGTCACCTTTGTTTGAGCTTCAGCCACACTACAAGGAATTGCATGAGATGACATTTTATCAGGTGGTTTCTTCTCTACCATTGTACTTGTTGATCTCAACAGTTCAACAGGCTGATTGTCAGAATCTATCAATTCTCTGTTCTGCCACAATCCACCAGCTGGTTCTAATCTGGACTCTGGCAACACACACGTTTCCACAGAAGCTGATCCTGTGAAAACTACTCTTTCCAACTTTATTCCCGTGCAAGGCATTGGGGTTTCTTTGCACTTAACTTCAACAGACTGTTCTTGAGAATTAGAAAGCTCCACACTACTTTCACATGAAGCAGCTTTATCCATTTTTGGGGTGTTCTGTGAATCTTCTTTCTCCAGTCCTGAAGCAGTATCTGCACTTTGACTAGGATTAACAGGGCATTTGCAATGTTTACAACTGCAGTCAGAAGTTCTCAATTCTTCAGACTCTTGAAAAGATAGATTGCTTCTATTCTTGTGCATTGTGACGAGCACATATTCAGATTCCTCCACCTCTCCTTTTGCTAGTGTTGTGGTGATGACTGTACCGGGCATCACTATGGCTTCATCCTCACCATTTTCCAAAAGATGAGTCTCTTGCAACTCAGAGCATCTTATGAAGTAAGTAAGGAAATAAAGTAAGCGTTGCACAAGATCTTGCCTTTTGCCAACCACAACTGTTTTTGATAGTCTCACAGGTGATCCAATGGCTCCATAGAGATCTCCTGTGAAGCAGAATATAAAAGCAGTATGTTGTTATTCAGTATAGAATGCAAAGTCTTGAATTATAATGGAGATCTTCTGTACAGACTAAGAGTGGACTAAGGGTGCAGGGAACACACACACACACAGAAAGAGAGAGAGAGAGAGAGAGAGAGAGAGAGAGAGGGAGAGGGAGGGAGGGAGAGAGAGAGGGATTCTTACTGCTATCTTTTTCCATTAATAGTTGGCAGAATCATTTTAAAAATAGTCATTACAACTGGACTCTAATTTTTAGTTTCTAAAACAATCACTCCTTATGCATTATTCTCCTTTATACACTACATCATCACATTTAACTAGATATAATTATTACATTTTCTCTATGGATTTCAATAGAGTCTCTTTTTGTGAAAAGAATGGCTATACAAATTTGATAAATAATTAATAATTCTGTACTTTAGGTCAATAATTTTTTTAATGTTATTTTATTATTACTATTCTATAAAATCATTTAATTGTTTTATTCCAATTGTATACTGCCTTACAATATTAATTTTTACACCCAAACTTAAATTTATAATGCTAATAAATCTGATATAAGTAATAATAATTTATTAACCTGACGCCCAGTGTCTCTATCAGTTGTTTTATTCTAGTCAGCTTCCACTGTGTAAAGCAGACATGTCAAACTTGAGATGTCACGTGACGCCGTGCAACGTATCAGGACAGTTTTGCCATTGTGGGCAATGGGGTGGGTGCGGCTTCCGGATGAAGCATCCAGCCCGCGGGCCGGCAATTTAACACCCCTGTTGTAAAGGCTGCATTTGCCTCAAGAACAAGAATATCAAAACATAATACCGAAGACAGTATAAACTTTGAAATATAGGAGCTCATTTTGACAATCACTACAGATATGGCCCAGTTGTGTTGATACTTTATAAAAATCTCACAAAACAAGAATTGCTTAATGCATAATAATGCCCAATCCATTAGGATCCACTGGATAAAATTCCAGAGTTTTGAACTCCTGAATTCCTAATTTACCATACTGCTATTTCTGAATAAATATGAATAGAATCAGGCTGTAAGAACCTTGACTAACAAACTTGGAAGTAGAATTATACCATAAATTAAACTTCATTTTAGAGGAACATGAAGGAAAGAAGCAAGACAAATAAGTGGTACCATGGGGGAGATAGGAGAAAAACAACTGTTAATTGAAAGTTTTAATATATTTTTGCTTTATCTAACTGAGAAGTGTTACACTGTTTGTTTCTTTTTCTTTAAAAAATACAGTTTTTTGTTTTTAGCAACAGGAATTAAACAGCTTAGCAAACGGATATTTTGTTCATGGAAGAAATATACTGAGGTAGTTTAAAACATACCTAATTGTGCCCACAGTGGATTGTACGGGTGACTCTTTGCCAACAAGTCCACTGTCTGTGAGGAATGCTTCTCTAGAAATATTCGAATTGGTGGCTGGCCATTTGGCATGACAGTTGGAACCCAGGCCAGATGGTTTGTCAAAACTGCAGTTAGAAGAGCAGGTAAAAATCTGGATTGGGGGGGGGGGGGAAAGGCACGCACTTTAGAAACTGAAGAAAAAGATTATACAGGATTTTGGATGAATTTACTTCTATTAAAGGAAGCCTGTAATACATAATGTCCCTTACTGTAAGAGAGAATTCAATTAACATTTCCAGATCAGGGAACAGATTCTAAGGTACTTCCAAAACTCTTAACATAGTATCATGTTGTTGTTTCTGTTTCAAAAACGGTACATCAGGAAACGGAATGCAGATGCTGTGTCTTACCAACACATGGAGTTTCTGAATTGGAACCATTAAATACAACCCATTTGGATCTTTTTTTTTATTCTATAATGTCAGATTTTTGTAAGAAACTAAAACGTGTAATGCTAATAATTTTTAAAGGCAACTAGAATTTCAAATGTACTTTTTTGTTCTTTTCGGAAGAGAAGATGTATCAGAACTTTAAAAGGACTTTTGGCTTGGCCTACATCATACTGGACTCTCAAGTAGCACAGAAGGATCTTCAGTCAGTCACGCCTTGGTTACCTCTTGACTGGATTATTTTAACTTTCTTGCTACTTCTCAAGCTGCACTAGCTGACACCTGGCATCCTGGTGCAATTCAAGATCTTGATTATTGCCCCTAAAATCTTGCATGGGCCTGGTTATAAGAGAACAGCCTCTATCCATATGTCTCTTGGTCTCATTAATTAAACAGTATCATCATAGGGAACCTCAGAAGCATGCCTTCTTGGTGATAGTTCCTGCCCTGTGGAATAATACACACCTTCATCCCGAGATTTGAACTGCTCCCATCTTTTTGACTTTCTACAAATTGCTAAATATCTAATTGTTTTCCCAGGCCTTGGTTTAAGATTGTGCTTGTTTTGCTGTTTGGTTCTTTGGGTTTTGTCCCTGGTCAGTTGTCTTCTTTTTTCTTGATCTTAATTTTTTATCGGTAAGACACGCACAGTAGCTTGGGTGACTTCAAAATTGAATTAATAAGTAAATAAATAATATTCTTAAAGAAGCTTTGAAATCTAGATACAATACACCATGGAATTGCATTAGTTCAGCTGTGAGTCTTTTGATTTAGGCAAATTCAAAAACATGGAAGGCAGGAATTTCAGGAATCTTCTCTATTGTTGGAAGATATAATAAAATCTTGAAAGTAGATCAAGATGGATTTTCTCTATGCCCCAGGTTATACCAAACAAAATCATAGTTTTTATTTAGATATGTTAAAATCATAACATAGTTTATTTTGACTTCTTTTCTTGTGGTTTCTTCTTTCTCATGCCTGAGTAATTTTTTTTTTACAGTTCCCCCTTAAGGGTTTGCTCTTTTCTTCACCATTCCCAAGGCCAAGTCTACATTCCTTTCCCCCAGCTAAGAAAACTAGTTAACATATGATATTGGGCAGCTGGTAGCTTTCCAGCATCTGGTTACTGAGCACTTTGGAGATTATATGGTTTGGCAGTTCATCTTAAGTTTTCCTTCCTGCTTATGCAAATCTTTATTCTTTCAGCCAGCAAGCAGGTCTTATTGGCTAAAATCTTTTACAGAAACATTAACTTTTTTTTTTTAGAAACAGAACTGAAATGTAACTTAAAGAGCTGAAAAAAGACTTAAAATATTTATAAGTTGTGTTTCAAGTTATTGTTGGCTATCACGGTTATATAATAGTATCACTATTAAGCAACTGTATTCTGTTTCATTTTTTGTTGTTTTAATGCTAGTTTTTCGTTTAGAATTGAAAATTAGGCTACACTTAATAAAGGTTTCTAAATGTTAACTTAGCAGTTTAAATTTGGCTTCAAAGAGAAAATTGAAATTAGTTATCAACTAAGGTAACTTTCTTTTAGGTTTCTACCCTTCACTGTCACTTGAGGGTACATTTTTAGATTCTGATAAATGGCATCCTTTTCCTTTATGGGTATGAGGCATTTTATGAGGAAAAAAAGACACTGTTACGCATATCATCCTTAATAAACTGCTACAAAATTAAAAAAAGCAAAATAATAATATTAATATAAGAATGCTTTACTGGTTCTTGGAAGCCTGTTCCATTAGGAAAGTAAATTCCTTCATAAAGTGATGGCAGAGCTGGTTCTTCTCGGGCATCCCCGACATCATCGTAAGCCAAACTGGTTCTGTAATCCGTGGCATAGTATAGAGATTGCAAATTGTTGTTCTAAAAGGCAAAAAACACAAGATTACGTTACCAACATCTTACATCACATGGCTCAAAGAGGCATTTTATATAGAGGCAAACTCATTTTTTTTTTATTTTTTAGTCCCAGTTCTGAGAAGCCTCACCTCCCTGCTTTCAGCATCTCCTGCATACTGAGGATACTAGAGCACCCCATTCAACCTTAGATTTAAAACAAGGTACAGTGCATGGTAGACATCCCAATTCAAGTATTGTAGAATCCAGTCCTAGCTTGACTACCTAGACCTAGAGTTGGATAGATATACACAGTTATATGAATGTGCAAATAAGTAGAGCTTTTCATTCACAAAGTAAACAACAGAAATTGTAAAGCTGAGTTTCAACATGTTCTGAGATTTGGGATTAAAAAAAAAGAATAAGTAACACTGGAGAAATTCTAAAGATCTTTATAACAGTGTGACTGCTCATCTTGAACAAACAACTCTGTTCCAATTGACTCAACAGAAATTTTATTTGTATTATGTAGTTATTGGTTCAACTTGACAAGTTTTTGTCTATTGTTGTATCTTATTTAAGCAGTAAATAAATACAACTTACACACAGTATCAGATGCTGTCAGTAAATTTAAAAGCTACAGACAAGTTTAGATGTGCCTTCAATATTTTATCATCATTATCATAACATTCATCATGTCTATGGAGATTCTCAGTCACCCAGGTCATAGTTGTCCCAAAGATGCTTTTTCACGAGGCAACTGGACTTTCTCATGAAAAAGCATCTTTGGGATAACATTCATCATTTCTGCAATGTTTATCAATATTATATTTCATCTTGTTTTTCATAGCCATGTTAGTTGGAAATACAAGGAGTTGAATTCCAACATATCTGCAGAACATTAAGCTAACCGAAAGCTACTCTACTATGATTAAAATAACTTATTCATCATCAAACTAACTGCTTATTCTTTTTCCTTTTCATCTTATGTGTTTTCCTTTCTTGTTTCATTTTTTTCCCCTGTTGCATCTATTTTCAGGATGTTACTCACCTGGGGCAGGGTTTATCATATTTAGACAGCATCATGTAAATAAATCAATAAAAACAACTTTTCTGTTTAATAAATTCATGTAAAATTAAACCAATACACAGGAGGATAGAAAATCATTCTGCAGACAAGAGGATATTGTTTACAAATCTACAAATCCAAGAAAAAAACAATCCCAAGAATACAATTAGCATAATTACTGTTCCATACTTTTAAAATCACACAATCTCTCAAGCTTTATTTATTTCATTTTTCCTGTTACCACTACATGCAGTTTAGAAACTGCCACTGTGACCTGTTTGAAGTTCCCTTGCCAAATACTAATGCAGTTTTCCATCATCCTTAATGATTTCTGAAAAAGTGTGCGTGGGTTCCAGGAGCTCTGTACTATCCAACTTAGAATTCTTTAAATGAGAAACTGAGGGTTTCTCACAGAAAAAAATAGATTACAACAAAGCCTAGAAAAACTGGTAAATTGTTTAGTCTTAGCAACATCAATGTGATTCAAACTAAGCCCATGTAAAAGAGAATTAATATTAGTAATTCTAAAAGGTCCTAGAGGTTATGAAGGTTTAGAAGACATAAAGAAACTGTTCATCATTAGAAGGTGTTCTCCAAGATAAATTGGCAAGGGCTAATATAGGTGGTCCTCAATTTACAATAGTTTGTTCAAAGTTACAACGGCACTGAAAAACGTGACTTATGATTGTGTTTCACACTTATGACCATTGCAGCATCCACACAGTCCCATGATCAGAATTCAGACGCTTGGTGACTGACTCATATTTATGATGATTGCAGTGTCCCAGGGTCAAGTGATTACCTTTTGCAACTTCCTAACAAGCAAAGTCAATGGGGAAGCCAGATGTCAACACTGCTAACATCGGTTGTTCTTGCTTTGACAATATACAAAGATGCAGCCATTTCCTCTTTAACCTGTGTATTACTTTTAGAGTTAGAATTAGATGGTGCTGGAGGGGAGGGGGAAAATGTGCATGGGGATTAGTTAGACATAACAATATCTCAGTAGAGAAGATAAGAAATGGTGGGTTATGGAATGGGAGGGAAAGTTCGCACTTCAAACTAATTGGAACTAATTGGAGAATGTGATTAATGACTGTTAAATGGAGGAGTGAATTATGCTTCGATACTATGTATTTAGGGGAGGAGAATTCAGATTTTGTCTTCGCCTATGTAGGTGCCGAAGCTATGTTGCTTAATTAAAGATTCTTTAAGGCAAACAATGCCTCAAAGTTCTTTGAAGAGTTTCATCTTTCGGAACCATGACACCAGATTCACTTAACAGCCGTATTACTAACTTAACAACTGCAGGAATTCACTTAACAACTGTGGTGAGAAAAGTCATGAAATAGGGCAAAACTCAATTGTTTCACTTAGCAACAGAAATTTTGAGCTCACTTATGGTCATAAGTCAAGGATTACTTATAGAAAGTTATTCTGTAGTATTTTTTCCTATGAAGCACAAGTTTACTCTTTGATTACCAAAGCCTCAAAATTGGACAATTCTGGGAGTTGAAGTCCACATACCCTCATGAGGCCAAGTTTGGGAAACACTGATCTAGACTCACAGTTAAAAATATAAATCAGAAGAAAACTACAGTTCTCTCAGGGTGACTTTCATTCCTTTGGCTTTCCTTCACTGCAACCCAGATCTGCCATCCATCCGTCAGAATTCCCACCACCACGAAATAAAATAAAATAAAATAAAATGCTTGATGTGGAAGCTGTTAACTTGCAAAACAGCAAATCAGCCCATTCTGCAAAGCTGAGGTGGAATTCAAAATTCAAACCAGCCTCCTGGGTCCCATTTCAGCACATTCAAACCCCAAAGCAAGCTTTTAGAAAGCTTCCTCAGACTGAATAGTCCATAGGTACTTCGAGGGTGGGAGAGAAACAGGAGGAGAAAGCAGAGTTTCTGTTTTAAGCCAGAGATATTAAACGATTTGTTTTCGTTGAAAGGCTAGCTCCAGTCTTGTGACTCCTTATTTACTATTCTGGTAACTGTGGCTGCATCTGCAACTGATAGTGTTTCCTCAGAGAGATCAGATTCCGCTGGCCGCTCGCCAGCAGGCATGTGACTGCAGCGAAGGGAACCCTCCGTGCCAGATATAGAAGCAATTTGCACAAAACACTAGGCAGAGGATTAACTGGCCAAGGGCGGGTGGACAGTCTGCTTTGCATTTCTTCCTGGCTCTCTCAGGATAGGCGAGTGGCAGGCATTGATTCCTTCCTCCTCAAACAGCTTCACAGGGCATAGCCAGAGATTATGTAAGGGCCAAAGCACGTCACAGACTGTTTCAATTCTTTCTTTACATTTGCATTTTGACAGTCTCTGGGAAATCTCTTTGCCTCCTTTTCTGAGGAAGGTCCAATCAAGGCAGGGTGGCCACTACTCAGAAAAGAGAGTGGGTGTGGAAGGGACAAGGTCACCGCTGGAAAAAGGAAGCTACGCACACCCAAGAAGAGGAACTGGGATGAAAGGACAAAGGATAATTATAGAAGCACACATGTATGTATAAATCTAAGCCTACCTATTGTTAATAGTGGTGACTTGTAGGGCAGTTTAGTCACTTGTCCAGGTGTTGATTAGTGGAAAGCAAAGTCAAGGCCCTTGGAGTTTCTTCTTTTGATTCCTCAGGACTACATAGTTTTAGACCAGAAAGAAACCATTCCTGCCCCCCTCACTATTATGATAATTACAATTCATATATAATTAAAAGGGATAGGGTGGAGGCATCCATTCATGTAATGATGTTTGGAAACAAGCCCACGTGCTTTTCACACTGCTCATTAGATAATCACACCATGCAGACTGCGGTATAATATGGATGTTCACAATCCAGCCGAGCTGATTTTTGTAGAGAAAATCCTCTCAGAAGATAAAGCTCAGAGCTTATGGCTGTACTCTGCTTAAAAACTCTGATACTCCCGACCTTTCCCACAGTTGATAGGACAAAATCTTCTCATTATAAAGGAAGTGGGAATGGGGTTGTAGCAGGGATTTTGCATTTCTACACTGGATTTTTCAAAAATTATGGCCTTAACTCAGCATCCCAGCTCAGACTCCTCTGGAGGTATTTGAAGATAATTTTCTTCATCCCAGATATCGTGGTCAAGAATATTTAGGGACTTGGATAGTAACAATTAAATCTGTCTAGCAAGAAAGGGACAAGATTGGGGAACATTACTTTAAACTTGACCACATTCAAACTGAATAAAAAGAGATTAATATCACGCAATTCTTAGCATACTAATTTAATTATCTCCAACTTAGTATCTAATTAGTTGAAAATTCTGCAGCTTGCAATCATAACACAGTTATACAAAGTTGGGGAAGGCTATTTTAGGCAATAATTTATAAAAGAGGAAAGCAGGCCTAAATTAGGTACTTAGGCAAAGTAAGTTTTGGAGGAAGGAACACTAATTATATCCCTTTTAGAATACCCCCTTAAGTTTTCTGTGATGAAGGTCTACCAACTTCGCAGACTTCCCACAGATGATACAGGAGTGAAAACTGCCTATTTAATGAAGGCCAATCATTTTGAACTTGGAAAAAACAAAGTGCTGTTAATAATCTGATTTGCTTATTCCCCCCCCCCACTTGTTCCGATCTTAGCCCAAAAGCTGGGAAATGATGTACATTTACCCTGGAAAGGAATAATTAATTTAATACTGTTGAAGTGTGCACAGGAAAGTATTTCTTGGAGGGGGTTTGGCATTGAAAAATGCACAAGCACTTTGTTAATTGAAGAGGTTTTGTTTTTTAATGTAAAGATTCTCAAGATAGTGGTGGGATGTGCTTTAAAACATTGTGCACATTGGCTTTCAAAGCTCACAAGATGTTTCCCATTTGCAATGTTTCTTCCTTTTTCCTCTCCCCATATGGTTATTATTTAAAAATGTAATAGTCACTGAATGTACATGCCAGCAAAATTGTTGGATAGCCTCTTGAGTGCTGGTTGCTTAAAGCCTGGATGAACTGATCTTTTACGGCCCTCTCAGTGACTGATTTAAATTCTGAAACTCCTTTCCTCCCTGTTATGTTTTGATGACAAAAGCTCCTTTGCTGTTTCTTTAGTACTTGAAACACTTTGGTGCAAACCAACGCTTTTTCAGATTTTTGTCAGCAACTCCAATGAATCATACCCACCCACCAATTTGCCTCAAACCTGACAGAAACATTCATATGCTAAAAATAAATCTTGTCTTTATATAAGGCTGGTTTCCTTTAAAAACTAGTTTCTTTTGAAAGCAAAGCAGACTCACACCAGCTGACAACTCCTTCTCCTCTGCCAGCATACTCAAATAAACAAGACAAAAATTTGTAGGGAGGGTATATATATGTAGGTCTTTGGTTATTCGGGTTTTCTCCCGCGTCAAATTGGAAATGTCTTGGCGACGTTTCGACAAAGTCTCATTCGTCATCTTCAGGCTGGTGTTTTTGGCTTCGTGCTTCTAGGAGCAATGTGTGATCGTAACACAAAGCCGAAAACACCAGCCTGAAGATGACGAATGAGACTTCATTGAAACGTTGCCAAGACATTTCCAATTTGACACGGGAGAAAACCCGAATAACCAAAGACATACATACAAACACCCGCGAAAACCTCAGAAAACAAATATATATATCAATGACGAATAGAAAGGTAAGAATGATGCAAAGTCATGACAACAGTAAAAACAGGATTCCTTATATTAGAACTCTTAGCATTCTTATTTTTACATTTTTCAAGCTATTCTGTAACTTGTGGTAGGTGGAAATAAGATTATAAGACACTTCCTGGCAGAATTTATGAAAAGCCTACATTTTTCACAAAGAACATTCTTCTCAGGTCCCCACAAAAGATGAACTGCCTTCTATGCATATGTGTTTGTCTAAAGAAAAGTGCAAAAATGGAAGCAACCAGCAATACTATCTTGAACCATTCTTGCACTTGTATAAGAACATCTATACAGAAACAGGAATGGGCATCATTATCTGCTGCTTCATTTGCTAATAAAGGGTTGGGCAACCTGCAGGTCTACAGCCATTGGCAACCACTTTGGTCTTTTTCATAGCACCCCTCTCTGCATTTGATGAAAATATCTGTTAGTTCCCCATCATGTGAAAACAGAAAAATACTAGTTTAAGTCCTGATACAAGCTTGATAGGTTTTTTTTTTTAAGAAACAAAAAAAACATTGTATGCCTTGGGCATGCTGACTCTTCAGAGGAAAAAAAAACTGGAAAGTGAATTAGCTGCTCTACTGCTAATACAAATACTTGATAAACTGTGCAGTTTGCAGAACTCCAAAATTCCCACTAGAATAGATCATCAAACTCTCCGGCAACAGTAGCTCTTCTACACGTTAACATGATTAGTTAAACAGTAAAATAACTCAGAGGTAGTTTCATCTCTACAATATTTTGGTTTCTATGCACCCAGCTGTGCTGCTGTAGAATATTTACTGTACTTCAGAAACTGGGCACATTTCCGACCAAGCCTTCTTATCCCCCCCCATTACATAATCAACATGTCATGTGTTTAAAGATTTAGTCAACAAATGTCTCAATTATACACAATAAAGAGGACTGATTTTTATCTTTTTGCAATGTTTTCGCTTCGGTTGCTCTTTCACTTCAGTAGCAAATCACCCCTTTTTTATTTAACATTCTCCATGAAGATAAAGGGAGTGAGCCCTTGCAAAAACCAGTTCCTAAACACAATCCAAGGCAAGCCCAATCCAAGATCAAATGAGAACTGCTTCTTCTAGAGATAAACAAAGGAGGAGCTAGCAATTCCAAGCCAAATCAGAACTGCAGAGAAACCCTACGGTACTGGAGTGCTGCTTGTCTTGTATATGTCTGCATGGCAGCAGAACTAGTAATATTAAAAAAAAAAAAATACAATGCGGTACAAGAAAATATATCTTCTCTTTCAAAACCTCCTGAAGTCCATTCTAGGATACAATATGCTGCAGCTTACAGATACTTGCGGTTTTATTCATGTTAAGCAGCCTTTTGGGGGAAGAATGCCAGACCCCTTTAACTTCACAAACACTGCTACTAACAACAATTCTCTAAAGCCATCATCCTTTCCTTGTAGTCATCAGCAACAATTTCATACTGGAGGATAAAGAGGAGGCTAGGAAGACAGTACAATACAGTACAAGGGGAAGTAATGTTCCCACTGAAGCAGAAACATTCAGCCATTAGCACGTGTTTCTCTGCCAAATCCTAACGGTTTCCTTGTTGCATCTACTTTTACAGTGAAGAAGAAAAACCCCAAAACAGAACGTGGCAAGCACACTAAAACTACCATTCCAGTAACTTCTACACAATGTCAAGACACTATGGCTTCAGGAAGAAAGAAAAAAGTATCTCAGAAGTCAGCAGGCAGAACAAAAGGGAAATTCTTGGCAGTGGGATCCTGCCAGCCCTGCGTCTCTAGAGAAAACTGGTCTTCAAAATTTCCTCTGTAGCATTAGCTGGGCTGAAAGTTAATTAGCAGAAGCCTTCAGAAGCCAAAGGGATCATGGGAACGCAGGGATGTAGCAGTAAACCAGATTGGCATTCTTTAGCTTTCCTATGTGGAAGGAATTATGTGACACTAAAAATTAATACACTGACAGTCTCCAGTGACAGACTGATTGTTTCCACACAACCCTAGTCCTAGCTCTACATTCCAAGGTGATAAGGGATTTAGAAAGGGGAAAAGTCTCCTTTAAAAATCATGGCTATACCTGCAAACATGGCTCAAATCAAAGGCATCAAGCGACGATTCTGGCTTCAAAAGGACTGGCCAAGGGAAGAATTCAAGGGCTGCACTTAAATAAAGTATTTTTTGTTATGTTGCAATTCCACTGCATAAAGACTGTAGCAAATATGAGATGGCCTTGTGAAACGCTGTGCCATTGTGCTGTGCACACCTAACTATCTACGCTTGGATTGTGTTGACCCATCAAAGTCTGTTCAGCCCTAAAAGTAGCTCTCCAATCTCTCAAGCAAACTAAAATATAAAATCCTTTGAACAGGATATAACAAGAACAGAAGCTGGGACTGCACATACTTTCTGCTCTATTCCTAAATAATGGCCCCCATCAGGCCCTCTTCTGCTTTTCACTACCTAGAAGCTGATGGAAACCATCCTCAAAGCGCCAAGTCTGTTCCGAGCCTTAGAGGAAGACACCACAGATCATCTGATTTCTTGAAACAGGACATTCAGGGTTTCAAGGTTCAGATTTTAAGAGGAAGCAAATAAAAGGAAGAATCAAATAAGAAATCAAATAAAAATAAGAATCCAAAATCCATTGTATCTCATGCTTTTCAAACAAACACCATCACCCCCACCAGAAGGGCTGACTCAAATTTATTACAGGAATTCATTTTAAATCCATAATTATTCCTTTCTCAACCATGAAAGCCAACTTTGCAAACTATGCAGATTAAAGGCAACTAGACAGTAGATGACAGGTTAAAGGCTTTGCACCCAAAATATACTTCTGAGGTAGTTATCTGTGCTGAATAGCTTATGAACTGCTGTAAAAGCAATCGTTCTATTTGCATTATTCCTTCTTAGGAAAGTTGGATTCATTTAAATATCTTTAAGAAAAGACAGCAGATCTACTTATACATGACAACTAGATACTGAAACCGAATCACTGCAACTGATCACATAAAAGGCATTCATACACATGAAGGTGTTTCTCCCAGTCTCTAGGAAAGTTCTTGGTGCTTCTTGTTGCACTGCAATCTTCTAGGATAGGGGTGTCTGCAGGATCCACATCTTTTGTCATCATGATGAAAGCAATGTTGTAAACACCCATTTCCGAAGTGCATGCCATGTCTCTACCCTTGTAGAAAAGCAATGGGAGACTGGGTGCAATGCTGCTTTCATCATTTGCTCCCTCTTTCTCTTCTGCAGAAACCTCTGTTCCCAGAGTTTTCATGCATTACAGATTCACTATAGACTACCCTGATTATAGATATTTGTCCTAGAACAGTAAAAGGACTGAAAGCCTGAAGTTCTCTAAATTAAAATTTCCTTTAGATCTAAAAATAGACAACCAGAAGCCCACTAGTCTTCCCAGCCAGAACATCTGGATTCAGAACATGCAAAAGATGTAAGTCAACCACCTCTGTTCTGACGATGGTTTAATTACTGCTCTTCATCAAAGAATAATGTGAATTGAGAATTTATTTCCCGCATTATACATTTGTTACCAGAAACATTTAAACACTTGTTAGAACTGAAAAACAGTAAACAAACTCACCTGAATTCATTTAAGGCATCCACGATCCTATTATATGCCAAACTCCGTTGGCTGGCATCAGCTGACCGACGGCTTGTTTTCATAGCCTTGAAAAAAAATGTTTCAACTAATATCAGACAAAACTCCCATATGATATGTTTTATCTAAAGTGGACTTGAACAGGCAAATAGAGGGTGAGTTTCTTTCTTTTTTATTATGTCTATGTATGGACTTTTTTTAATGCAATAAATATTGTCCCTTGATAAGTTTCATATCAAGATAGAGAGATGTGAAGAACAAGTATTTACCCTGTCCCTTTTTTCTACACCCTTGCATGCAAGAGGCTATAAAAAGGCCTAAGTTTTCCCACACTGCAAGAGCAAATTCCACATTCAAGCAAATCCTTCAACTAATTACCTACACCCATTAGTAAATATAATTCATTGTAAGAGAGGTAGGATTTGTTCTCTGAACAAAGGGCAGAATGCAGGTTAATGTGAGTTATAATCCTGAAGTAATCAGATCCATTGTTCTCACCTCTTTATCTCTTTGAAGCAAGTGACTAGGACCCAATTCAGAATTCACATGGTGTTCCATCATGTGCTCCCCACTATCACATAGATATTTCCATATCTGATTTAAGCTCTCTGTGGCTTTGTGCAAACAGGAATGTGCACAATGGACTGTATTCATGTAGGACTGCAACACAGGGTACTTTCTGCCACTAAAACAGGGTGCAGGAGCTTAATAGACCTAGTCATCTATCTATCTATTGTCTATTTTACAGCCTTAGAATTTGCCCTAAAGCCCTGAGGGATTTCTATGCAGAAGATATAAGAGGAGGTCATGGGTGCAAGGGAGAGGAAATCTTATTTTGAAAGCAGAAGTCAGTTCCCACAGCTGTGGATTTTGTATAATTTTCATTTATGCAGAGGAGAGAGAATGGCAGGACCCTTCCTTCAACTCACTAAGGCCAATTCCAACAGCCATGCTCTTGTTCCATGTCAGAGCTAGCTGGAATCCAACCCACCCTAAATTTGGCAGCCTTTGTCTACCAGGTGCTGTGCACTCATAGTCAGTATACCCAGTGCTGCTGACTGTGTATCTGTAGTGGATACCAAAGCAAGACTGCAGTTGGTTTCTGAACGGAGACTGATGTCATCTGCCTTACTCAAGGATATTGCCAACTGGCATACTGACTGCTCTTCAAAGGCTTTTTGTGATTATTTCAATGGGCTGCTGATGACATGCCCTATCATTTAAAAAAGAGGGGGGGGTGGCTCTGAAGTACAGCCTCCCTACACAGGTCAAACAAGAATAGGCAGTGGGGACATAGTGGTCAGGGACTAGAGGCAAGGGAGGCAGTCCAGGATCACAGTGAAAGAGTCCACAAAAGACACCAGATCACTGAGGTAGAATATGATGTGGCAAGGTAGCTCTTCCACTCACATCAATGCACCCCACACTGTCTGCATGGAGTGACTTGGGTCCCAGAAAAATAGTACCCACCATTTGAGTACCAGCAAACCTAGATCTGTCTTGTGCCTGAAGTCAGCCACTGGTTGGCCTCTAGATATAGAGGACATGCGACACAAGTTCATGGAAGGGTTGCAAGGTGCGGAGAATATGCTAATGTACCCAAAGACACCTGTCTTTTTCAATGGCAATGACTATAATATGCCTGTTCTTTGGATGTAAATAGCTTTCAAAGGGAAGCCCACACAGCCTTGGCAAGATAATTGAGCAGAGGAATTTAACTCAAACAGCCATAGTCATAGTTATTAAATCATGTAACTCAAAAATCAGGTCAGCACAGCTTTTCCTTATTGATTACTTAAGAGTGATCTCAAGACCTTTATGCATTATCCTGAAATAAGACCACTTCCCAATGTTAGCATTATGGAGTCTGCATGTGCATCGCCAGTTTGATCTAATGCAATTTTTCCTCAAACTTGGCGACTTAAAGATATGTGGACTTCGAAGTCCCGGAATTGTCCAGCCAGTATGTTTAAATCCACACTTTATAATGTTGTGAAAGTTGAGATGCACTGGTCTAATGCCTCTAAATGAATTCTGACGAGCCTCAATCTTGCAAATTAAACTGGAAACACCGTATCGTAAAATAGAATTAGCAAATAAATTAAAAGTATGTATAGGTGATGATAGTATTTACCTGTTCTATTGCGCTCTTCAGCTTATTCATATGGCTCTCAAAAAGAGGGAAGTGTGAGAAAAAGAACTCATTAAATTTGCTATTTTCTTCTTCGTCCTTTGAAAGTGAGAATATCACCCCAATTGCTATCTTCTTTTTCCTGACAATTCCTGGGTTTGGGCTGGAGTTGTCATCTGACAAGTTAAAGCTTTCTTCCACTGACCTTTATAAGAACCAAAAACGTAGAACTGTAAATCATTTGAAATGTTTCCAACTATATTTCAAGTAGAACTTTGATACAGTAAAATAACGACCTCGCTTGACTTTTTTTTAAAATAATAATAATCTGAAGTTAATGCTAGACCTTAGTCTCATCATCAAAATCCAGCATGCTGACATTTAGACAGGTTGTTTGGGGCATCTGCTATTAATGCCCGGAGTTCTAAATATCGTAGGGTTGTGGAGAACTATTTAAGTCACCAGTCGCAACTCTCTGCTGTGTACAGAAATCCAATTCAAGTAATAACAACAGTCCAACCTCTAAACATATCCTGAAAACAGCTCTTGCAGGTAAATTTTCCACAACATTCAGCTGGAATATGTTGTCATTTTAAATGTGTTATTCCGAATAGAATCTGCACCCCTACCATAGCTGCGTTCTCTGTTACATCATTTCAGGAATTTGAAATATTCCATCACATTTTTTTCATCTTCTCAGAGCTAAACATTCCCAGTTCTTTTCATTTTTCTTCACGGGACTTAAATTTTCATTGACTTTGTTATTCTTTCAAGAAACAGTTCCATTTTCTCCAATTCCTTCTTTTAGTGCTTGGAACTGCTCACAATAATGGAGGTGGAGCTGACCCAGTAATAAATATAGTAGAATGATAATTTCCCAATATTTGGAAGCTATCTCACAGGTATCTTTGCCAGCTTTCTCACAGGTAATCTTTGCCAGTCTCCTCCATTTCCTACCTGTGCTTTTTGTCTTTTTGCCCCTCCTTAACCCATATCTGCATGAAACTTTATGTTGCAATAGGCCTATAGTCTATCACAATCTGAATGTCCCATAAAACAGGGATACAGTAAGCTCTAATTTCCTTTCATACTTTTGAAATAAAATAAGTTGGGAGTGGGAGACGTAAACTCCACTGAATTAAAAGGAGTCACTTAGATACTGGGAAATAATATGGAGCAAAGCGACTGGGTAATTGTGTTTCAAATGATTAGGTACATAACTCTAATGCACAAGGGAAACCCACAACATAAAATGAACATCAAGCTATATTCTATGTTCGCACCATTATCCTAAAACATTTACTCTCTTGTAGGAGACATTGAAAGATGCACCAAGAGGTTAGGATTCCAGGCAGTCAGACAATTACACCTAGACACATCAATGTGGAAATTCAAACAGCATTTCCACAATCTGCTCACCATCTAGGGAAGACTCCATTCTCCAAGCTTGTTGTCTGACTGCGACGCCAACGCCGTTGGTAACTGCTAGCACAACTTCTGTTCAGTGAAGAACTCGGAGATGGAAAAGGAGTGATAAGCAGGCTGCTAAGAGATGCTGCAACAATAACAAAAAAGGGAAATGGCATTTAAAAAAACATTTCATTCATTTTTATTTTGTTAATGTGAGAAGCAAAATCTGAACATATGTAACTATTATTGCTTAAAAGGCTTTCTCCTTTCTGTAGTAGTTATATTTTTCTTCGTCTTCTATAGGTTTCTTCTTCTTCTTCTGTAAAAGAGACTATAAAGTAACCCAGATATCCGATATAGACTCCCATCCATATTATCTTTTTTTTTTTTTTGCATCCTGTCTATACACTGATATGCACAGGATGCACTGGAAGAAATGTATTTTTAGCATCTGCCTCCACTGTCAAACACATTTCTTGAAATTATCTAACCCCACAGTGATATCTTTTTTAATAGAATATTTATTTCTGTTAAAACAAGATTGAGTCTTTTCAAGCTGCAGCATCCAGAAAACTATTTGGTGAGTTAGTCTTAAGAATGCCTAATACATTTTATGCTTCTATTGAACTAGCAAGGAATATTTTGCTAAGCCATGGTTTGCTTACCATTAATGAAAGAAGAATTGGCTAGGTTCAGTATTGCACCAGAAAAAAAAATACATTAAGCCTTAGTAATACAATCAAAAAGATATACAATGACAAAATAAATGTACAATAAAGAAAATCCTGGCCCTTACATTACTAATAAACAACATTACCAGATCTTGCAATTCCACTGTCTCTGTCTTCATTCAGCTCTCTGCCAGGCATGTCCATAGGGTTGCTGTGAACTGTGTAGAGAAGACCACCCATTAATCCAAATTCATAAAACCTTGTCACCATCTCATGCTCCATTTAATTTACCAAATAATCATGCTCATTGGTGACTTCATTTAGAACTTTGAAAATAATAGCAAGGCATACCCATCACCAAGGAAGGCTGCAAAGCAGATCTAGTCATACACAGTAGCAGGTTCAGGCAGTATTTGCAGACGACCTCTTCATTTCAACAGAAATGAAATATTATCCCAAAAAAAAGGGAGGTTAGCCATGGAGCAAAAGCACTTGGTACCAAGCTATAAGCAGTGCTAAAATAAAAAGAAGAGTATGACAAGCACTATATGATGGGTGCTCTATGTTACATCAGATCTGGATTTGCATTTCTATTGCTTCTTCAACTAAGCATGACACTATCTGCATTTGCAGCCAATTCTTATTAAACAGAGGTGAAATTCTAAGCAGAAGCTAGAACTCCAATCTGCCAAATCAAAAGATTCTTGACCATAATTATTTCAGAAATCATAGATTTGCAGATCCACGAAAAGAAAAATCTAAATCAGCCATGGAAATAAAACTTGGATAATGGAAAGCCAAACAGGAGAAGCTTAGTTCAGGTTTAGGCAAATAGTGAAATAACATGTTTTTATCATTAAGATTAATTCAATCTTGCGGAAGGTAACGAATAATCCCTATATTGTTAGGGATTTCCAAACCCAAATGATTGCCTCAGATTGACGTGAATTAAAGATAGTGGTTTCACTTTTGGAAGTGACTAAGGGTCTTATTTCCAAGGCCAAACTACAGATCCACTCAGTTTTGTCAAACCAACTAGACTATCCACACAGCACATAGCAAACCTGCAAAGAAAGAGGCGCTCCGGATCAGGCGGAGCGGACCTTGTTCAGAGAATGCCCGCCTAGGGCTGCAAAGCTGTGAGAAACCTACATGGCAAAATGTAAAATACACATGAAAGAATGAGGTTAGTAAAGCAGAACAGAGGGGAAGGGAAGGTGTAAGCCAACACAAATGCAGACCCAGGAACACAGCAAAACCCACACCTTTTACACTTGAATACAGTACAGGGCTTCAAACTGCACTGCCTTCCAAGATTTACATATCAGTTTTAATGCAGGAGGTTTCTTTTTTTCATTCTGAATAAATCAATACATGAGGTAAAAGCTTCAAATAATTACTAATTACAACATAAGTCCACATGTAGACATTCTTGATTTTTTGCATACTTTTAAAGGACTTATATTAGTTTGATGATACATCAAGCACCTAATAATTTTATAAACATAGAAAAATTCTCTTCAACTACCAAAGCAGCTATTTTCTTGTTTTCTGGGCTGAAGGGATGTCTTTTGTTTTAAATATTTATATGTACCCTGTGCAGAGAATAAACTTTATTTAAATAAAATCCTCTTTGTAAAGTTCAGAATTCTTCCCCTCCCCCCACCATTGTCTCAATTCACAAATCCCCACAGTAAACCCATAAATAATTTATTTTGAAAGTAGCCTGGAGATTAAAATCTTTTAAAGGAACTAAAGTTAGTCCTCGATTTACAATAGTTCATTTAGTGACTGTTGGAAGTTACAATGGCACTGAAAAAAGTGACTTTTGACCATTTTTCACCATGCATCTGCATGGTTACATGATCAAAATATAGATGCTTGGCAACTGACTCATATTTATGACGGTTGCTGTCTCCTGGGATCATATGATCACCTTTTGTGACATTCTGACAAGTATAGTCAAAGGGAAAGCAAGATTCACTTAACAACGGTGCAGTGATTCACTTAACAAATGTGGCAAGAAAGGTCATAAAATGGGGCAAAACTCAACAAATTTCTCATTTAAATTTTGGGCTCAATTGTGGTCGTAAGTTGAGGGCTATCTGTAATTTGCGTACTTGCGCATCCACACACGTAACTTCCACATATGAAACACGACATGTGGGAGGCAAATCACTGGGACATAATGTCCCTTAGCCCACATTGTAGTCTTCTAACAAGAGTGGCCTTACTGCCCTCTCACCATTTCCATGGCAATGGAGCCGGGAGTTGGCAGAAAAAAAGACAAAAGCCCTAGGGTATCATTCTACATCTCTTTGACATATCCCCTACCCCAAAGTCTCAGTTCAGCCCAATTTTCCAGCTCTAATGAATGACAGAGAGTTTTTTTCTTAGCCCTAATCCAAATCCTTGCACGATTGATTTATTACTGGAAAATGAAATGAAAGGAGGCCTTTATCTGTCTTATGCGAAGAATTTCACATTCACATGTTGTTTCTAACCAAAAAAATGTCATAATATTTTCACCAAAGCAAATGGAAGATAATACTGCATGCTGGGCTTGGAATATTCTGGTCCTATGTGTGAAATTTATTTTTTTCCTCTTGCAAAAGAAATAAAAAACGTTGAATGAAAGAAAAAACATTCCTTGTACCTTCTCTTCTGCCAAAAAAAAATAAGAACGGTATCCTTTGATCACAGGCTTCAGGTGTAAATCATTAATAGTACAGGTAGTCCTCAACTTATGACTGTTCACTTAGTGACCGTTCAAAATTACGATGCACCCCCCCCAAAAGCTATATATGACTCATTTCCAGAATTCTGAAGACTACACAGACCACATGTGCTTGTCAACTTGCTCACCTTTACAGCAGGTTGAAGCATTTTGTGGTCATGTGACCACAATATATGATGCCTTTTGTCAGTTTCTGGTATTTTCGGCTAGTTTCCAGCAAAAAACAGCCATACTTATTGGTGACTTAACATTATATAACTATATTGATAATTAATAATAACATAATATATATGGGCTGGTCACATTCATGCCTCAACTTATGACCATCATTACTTATGACAGAAATTCCAGATTCCATTACAGTCATGAATAAAGGACTACCTCCATTTAATAATAGAGTGATGACTATTGAACCCAGGGCCTCTCTTCACTGTGTTTGTGTGTAGTCATGGATTCTAATATTCAGACAGCTGCACAGTGAGAAAAATTCTTTTCTAGTTGTTTCAAAAAATGGTAATCAGAAGTACTAAGTGTTCCACCAGAAAAGAGATGGGCTGGAAAAGGTTGGCTAGCTCACATACAAAAGCACACAACAATCTTCTAAAAATCTAAGAATTAGCAAGAATCAATGAGTCATAAGTATTCTTTCTATTTGATTTAGCTTCTAAAAATGCTCTGGTTACAGATTAACTCATTTTTGCACTGCCTGACTCTGAAGCATGGACTGTAAACAAATATTGATGAGTAGATTATGCATTAATCTAGGTTTATAAGGTTTTTTTTATATGCAAAATTACAGAAAAATAATTATCTTTCTTAATATACTGTATCCAGTGTTGTATAGAAGTAAAATCAGTACTTTTCTCTTTAGGTTTTAAAAATACATATAAATGGGCTATTATTAAGTAAATTCAATGGTTAGCAAGAAGCTATTTCCTTTATTCAGGAAACTAATTATTCCAGTGGGTATATATAGGTAATCTTAGACGTGCTACTATTGTTTAATGAAGGTCCAGAATTACAGCAGTCTCAAAAAGGGTACTTTACTGCCTATTGCAATATTTTGACATCCCCCCCCCCACGATTACATGATTACAATCTTGGCAACCTATTTGCACTTATGACTGGTTGCCAAGCACCCCTTGATCATGTGATCAGCATTTGCTATCTTCTCTGATGGCCTCCCCAAATAATCAATGGGAAAGCTGGCAGGAAAGGGTGCCAGCTGATGCTCCCCCTCCCCAAGATGAGTTCCTCTCATCTCTGGAGGCTGGCTGAAAGATTGCTTGCAGAGAGAAGCTGAACTCATTTGATTGGGCACAAAAATGAAGCTGAACTCCTAAAGATTCTTCAGAATTTCAGCTCCATTTTTGCACCTTGTCAAAGGAATTCCCTTCCATGCAGTGAAGGAGTTGAATTCCTGCAGCAGGGTGCAAAAACAGAGTTGAAATTCTAAAAAAATTAGCTCCATTCCTGCATCCCACCAAAGGAGTTCCCTTCTGTGCATAGAAGGGAGCTGAAATCCTTTAGCAGGCAGCTCTTTTAGGCAACCCCAGAGAGAAGAGGGAGCCAAAATCCAAGCAGAAAGTGGAGAGGCAGCATAGGTGTGGAATGTCTCAGGTGTGTGGGGGAGGCCTTGGGAGATTCAGCCTAAGCCACACACAAGTATCTCTTTATTCAGGTGCTGAAAATGCTGCTTGGATTTTGGTAGGGGTTTTTCAGCTCCTGAGTAGAACCTCTGCTATCTCCCTCCACCTGAGACACTCCACATTGCTTCCCTGGAACTTCATCCACTTAACCCATGAGATGGCTTAAAGACCAGAACCAGAAGTCCCAGAATCATAGCTGTTGAGAGAAATAGTTGTGTGTATTTCACTTAATGACTGAGTTGCACAACATCCAAGATCCTGGTCCCAATTGTAATCATAAATCAAGGATTACGTGTAATTCAATCAGGTATTTTTACTAGCCATTCATTTTCCATTTTCTTTTGATATTATAAACTTACATAACTGTTAAGTCAACAACTCTTAAACTGGACTAGATAAGTAAGCAGCATTAAGGAATACAATACCTAGCAGCTTCAATTATGCTACTTTTACATTATGTAATTATAGTTTAACACTCATTTTATAAATCTAGATTATACTTGTAAATCCTACCACACTGACATTTTTCCATGTATACAGTGCCTAGTGCATACAAAGTTTCCTTTCCATGCCATTGCCCTCAGTACCAACACATTTGAACATAAAACTTGCAATTACACTTTAAATCAGAATTGCAACCTTTGTCCATTGTGATCAGCCATTCTCTGGTGGGAAGTTTAAATTTAGTAAAGGACAGAAAGGAAGGACAGCAACAGTTAAGATGAACATGTATGTTGTAGCTTGCAGGGATCAGAAAATTATACTTCAATTATTTCAAGATGTACATGAAAGCAGTAGGGTTCCACAAGTAAAAATAAATTGTTTTGTTTTATGTTCTTGATCTTTTGCTTTCTATTAAAATCAAGTCGGTTTCTAAAAGGGGAGTGATATTGATTAAATAAATGGATTAAAAGGGTGTTGAGGGAATCATTCATCCAAGGATGAAGCAATCCCAATATATAAGTTCAGTATGTATTGATCTTTCAGCCAACCTATGGGTTTGGTACTAGAAAGCCAAATAATTCATTTTAAACAATAAGCAACTACATAAACTGTGGGTGCTTAGTCTGAAATCATTCTGCTCAAACAGATGGTGCCTTAGGTAACAAATACAAATGATATGCCTTATAGGAAAAGGAAAGGATTTTGTGTGGATCATCATATTGTTTTACTTCTTGGCAGAGCACTATTATTGAAGATTAATTAGGCTGCTGAGGAACAGTTGTATGAGTAAGGGCAGCAAACGGCAGCCAAAACCCCCAGTAAACATAATCATGGTTAATAAAGCTCATTCTTCTCATTTCCTCTGTGTGTGTGTGTGTGTGTGTGTGTGTGTGTGTGTGTGCGCGTGCATGCCTTTGAGTCAGTCTTGATTTCTGGCGATTGTCTGGGCAAGTCTCTGCAATTGTCTTGGCAAATATTTTGGATATTTTGCCTTGCCTTCTTTGCAGGGCTAAAAAAGAATGACTGGCCTAAAGTTACCATCTGGCTTTGTGCCTAAAGGAGGAATAAAAACTCACATTCTCCGGGTTTCTAGCCTGACGCCTTAAACCGCTACACCAAACTGACCCTCTTCACATTTTCTAAGTAATACTTAAAAATAAAGGGCAATTAAATCAAAAGTGGAAATACAAGGTACCCTGCAGAATTTCTGTAGCTTCTCTGAACAATTAAGCAACATTACAAAGGCTCCTTGAATTCTGAAGAGCAATATTTGTAGGGGCACGGGAGGATTCCAGCAGGGTACAAAGTGGGGGAACCT